CGAAAAAGATTTGTGTTGGTTTTTTTAGTTGGAATAGGCTCTCTCAAGTTTAAGACTCATGATAGATGCTACTTTTTGCACCTTGAATGATGTTAGGCATGTTCCACTTATGGCAAAGAATCTGATATCATTGACTCATCTTGATTGTAAGGGCTTTAATTTCCATGATAAAGGTGGAGATATGAGTGCATCAAAGGCTCTTAAGGTATTGAAAGTGGTACCTTATATCTTCTACCAAGTTCTACTGTAACAAGTTCTGCTGTTTTTGCATCATATCATTTGAGATTCACATGGATGATGAAAGTCTTGATATTAAAGTAGAGGTTTCATATGTGGAGAATGAGATAATCGATTGCCTAGCAGAAGAATCACCAGCATATATTTTTGCACTTCAAAGATGCAATCTGTACCCCGGGAGGGGGTGATCAAGGCTTTAAGTGGAGTTGTCTAAGAGTTTATGCTAGCTAGTGTCATATGTATGTTCTGAGGTTCTATGAAGAGCCATTGGGTCTTTAGGTGGGGTTTGCTTCTGTCTGTGTTTCAGCTTGAGGTATATGTGCCCAAGCAAGGGCAATTCATTTGGTGTCATGACACTTCTGTACTCAAGTGAAACATTATCTTTTGGATCAGTTTAGGTGACATTGGTGTCTTAAGTTAGACTATGTTACCTTCAATATATTTTCCAGACCTATCAAGATGTAGATTTGTTCAGGTGAGAATGTGATCTTATGAAAGAAATGAGAGTGAATCTAGTGCTTTAGATTGTGAGATCTAATGGTCAAGATTGCATCAAAATTAGGTGCACCAAAATGGTTTGAAAATGCATCATGTCGAAATGCACCAAAATCTTTTAAAAATGCACTCTCTAAAAATTTGAGTGCAGGATGCAATCTGAGCCGCACGATGCATCAGATCCAAAAGCTAGATTTTATTCTTATTTCTTTCACCAAGGTGCATTCTCACTTGAACCGGCCCATATATATATATATATATATATATATATATATATAGATTTTGGTTCTGGTGAGAATGCAATCTTAGGAAAGAAATGAGAATGAATCTGATGCTTTAGATTGTGAGATCTAAGGGTCAAGATTTCATCAAAATTAGATGCACCAAAATGGTGCGAAAATGCATCATAAACCTTCGAAAATGCACTATCTCAAAATCTGAGCGCAGGATGCAATCTAATCCGCACGATGCATCAGATCCGACGGCTAGATTTTATTCTCATTTCTCTCCACAAGGTGCATTCTCACGGAAACCGGCCCCTATATATATATATATATATATATATATATATATATATATATATATATATATATATATATATATATATATATAGACACACACACACACATATATATATATATATATAGTTTGTAGCAATGTAGGATTAGGATTACCCAAACAGAACGGAATCGATTAGTTGGAATAGACTCTCTCAGGTTTAAGACTCGTGATAGATGCTACTTTTTGCACCTTGAATGATGTTAGGTGTGTTCCACTTATGGCAAAGAATCTGATATCATTGACTCATCTTGATTGTAAGGACCATAGTTTTAAAAACCGGACCAGACCGGCCGGTTCGGACCGTGAACCGGCGAACCGGTGGTCCAACCGGTCCGGTCCGGCCCATTAGACCGTAACAAGCTTTGAACCGGTCCGAACCGGTAAGAACCGGCCGGTCGGATCTTTTTCCAAAACTTCACTCCATGGGGATGTGAAACCAAGATCTCTTAGATATCTGATTGAGTTCCTAACCATCCAACTAACGGTACTTGTTGTTACAAATTCGTATTATATTTTATAATATTTCATAATTAATTAAAAAAATTTCATACAAATAACTTTTCAATTTTAAAAATATAATACGTAGTATTATATAGATATGAGTCAAACACAAAATCATTGATATTTTTTAAAATAAAATTTTAATATCGAGTATTATTTTTTAATATGTAAATTTTATCATTTAATTGAGTAAAATAACTCAAGTATATTAATATAATTTTAGTCAAATATTATAAATTACTTTCTTTATGTATTTATATATGGGAATGTGTGTGTGTGTGTCTATACACACACACACACACACACACACACATACATACATACATACATACATATATATATATATATATATATATATATATATATAAAATTTTTAAATATGTTTAAACCACCGGTTCGACCAGTTGAACCACCGGTTCGACCAGTAAACCAGTGGTTCGGTCACCGGTCCGGTTCTCAAAACTATGGTAAGGACTTTAATTTCCATGGTAAAGGTGGAGATATGAGTGCATCAAAGGCTCTCAAGGTATTGAAAGTGGTACCTTATATCTTCTACCAAGTTCTACTGTAACAAGTTCTGCTATTTTTGCATCATATCATTTGAGATTCACATGGATGATGAAAGTTTTGATATTAAAGTGGAGGTTCCATATGTGGAGAATGAGATTATCGATTGCCTAGAAGAATCACCAGCATATATTTTTGCACTTCAAAGATGCAATTTGTACCCCGGGAGGGGGTGATCAAGGCTTCAATTGGAGTTGTCTAAGAGTTTATGCTAGTGTCATCTGTATGTTCTGAGGTTCTATGAAGAGCCATTGGGTCTTTAGGTGGGGTTTGCTTCTGTCTGTGTTTCAGCTTGAGGTATATGTGCCCAAGTAAGGGCAATTCATTTGGTGTCATGACACTTCTGTACTCAAGTGAAACATTATCTTTTGGATCAGTATAGGTGACATTGGTGTCTTAAGTTAGACTATGTTACCTTCAATATATTTTCCAGACCTATCAAGATGTAGATTTGTTCAGGTGAGAATGTGATCTTATGAAAGAAATGAGAATGAATCTGGTGCTTTAGATTGTGAGATCTAATGGTCAGGATTGCATCAAAATTAGGTGCACCAAAATGGTTTGAAAATGCATCATGTCGAAATGCACCAAAATCTTTTAAAAATGCACTCTCTAAAAATGAGTGCAGGATGCAATCTGAGCCACACGATGCATCAGATCCAAAAGCTAGATTTTATTCTTATTTCTTTCACCAAGGTGCATTCTCACTTGAACCAGCCCATATATATATATATATATATATATATATATATATATATATATATATATATATATATATATATATATATATATATATATATATGGGCNTTATATATATATATATATATATATATATATAGTTTGTAGCAATGTAGGATTAGGATTACCCAAACAGAACGGAATCGATTAGTTGGAATAGACTCTCTCAGGTTTAAGACTCGTGATAGATGCTACTTTTTGCACCTTGAATGATGTTAGGTATGTTCCACTTATGGCAAAGAATCTGATATCATTGACTCATCTTGATTGTAAGGACTTTAATTTCCATGATAAAGGTGGAGATATGAGTGCATCAAAGGCTCTCAAGGTATTGAAAGTGGTACCTTATATCTTCTACCAAGTTCTACTGTAACAAGTTCTGCTGTTTTTGCATCATATCATTTGAGATTCACATGGATGATGAAAGTCTTGATATTAAAGTGGAGGTTCCATATGTGGAGATTTAGATTATCGATTGCCTAGAAGAATCACCAGCATATATTTTTGCACTTTAAAGATGCAATCTGTACCCCGGGAGGGGGTGATCTAGGCTTCAAATGGAGTTGTCTAAGAGTCTATGCTAGTGTCATCTGTATGTTCTCAAGTTCTATGAAGAGCCATTGGGTAATCATAATCCTACATTGCTACAAACTATATATAGGATAGGTTTTGGGTCTTTACAGATTTTGTTTTATGTTATGGAGGAAATATAATATTAGGTTATCGAGAAATAATTCAGAGTATTGTTCACGAAAGAAATTGCAATGCAAAAAAATTGTTGTGAGTTATAAAACTAATTAATGCCGTTTTGGAGAAAAAAAAATATTGTGCCGTTTTCACAACTTTTGAATTCTTATGACCGAATTGTCGAAAAAATCACAAGTTGGATAGTTCCATTCTCAGAAAAATATTCTGAGTAATAGAAGATTATCAATAAATATTTCAGAGTGCTATTCATGAAAAAATTGCAGTATAACAAAAAATTTAGTGAGTTATAAAAATAAAAGTTTCATTTCATAGAAAAATTTATTGTGTTATTTTCATAACTCCTGTAATTGTGTTTTACAAAAACAATTATATAGAATTATCGAAAAGTGTGCACAAGTTTTGTAGTACCATTTTATAAAATATAATAATAGTATAGTATCAAAAAAACAATTTGAAGAGTCTCTCATGAGAATAATTGCAATTTGCAACTTACAACAAAATGTAGTGAGTTATGAAGTGAATAAATTAGCTCCATTATGTAGAATAATTTATTGTTCAATTATTATCAGATTATCGATTATTGAAAAAAATAATTAATTTCACTCTAAAAAATACTTAAATTTGGTGGAGTATTATTTATAGCAACATTTTTTAAAAAAATATATTCAAATTTAATGTTAGAATTTAAAAAACAAAAAAAATTTAACGAAAATAATTTCACCTTTCATTTATTTGCGAAAAATATGCAATTTCCAAAAATCCCGTTAGGTGACCGTTAACTTTTTAATGGCGACCCAAAACTTACATAAATACGAAAATGTGAGATTTTTTCCAGCGATAGTGCAAAACGAGATTATTTCTGATTAAACTCGAAAAGATAAGATTATTTGATATAATTTTTCATTTTTTTCATCTTCACCTATCATGAGATATCGAAATCCTTAAATGTAGTCACGAAAAAGAAAAAAAACCAGAGGCAAGCACTCTTTGGTCGCATCACCATTACTTTACGTCTTTACCAGCAGCATCACTATTTGCAATTTTGATCAATTTCTTGATTTATTAATTCTTGAAAATTCATAAAGTTTGTATTTTTATAAAGGAAAATAATACCAAGAAAAAACAAAAAGTAGAAGAATACGAAGGGAAAGCTCTAATACGAGTCTTTTAACAATGTCTGTCTGTCTCCTGTGAGTCTCACTCTCTATACATTTGCACTACAATCCACACATCATTTTATATTTTCTGCTTCAAAATACTCTCTCTTTATTGCTTTGATTTTTTTCAAACTTGCGTAATACGTAATAGGAATACCCCCCAGTTTAAGCCAAAGTAGCTGCACAAAACATTGATTCAATTGAAATGGTTTTAGGGTTTCTGCAACTTTATATGCTTTTCTTCTAGGGTTTTGTACCAGCTCAATCTCAACTCACTTTGTCTTCTTCTTCGAAATTTTTATATAATTTATTTGTTTTATCTGAAGAAAAAGCTGTAAATTCAGTGTGATTCACGGCGGTTGAAGAATGGCGCTTCTGGGTTTCATGTCTTGGAAGATCGGGGAGGAACATGGTAGATCTTAGTGCGGCATTGAGATAGAAGGTTGGGGTTTTAATAAAGAGTTAATGCACACAGGAAGGCGTTGAATCAGTGTTGCCAAACATGACTTTCTCTAAGCTCGATGATTCTCCTATGTTCCGCAAACAGGTCAGCTCCATCTATTTGAGCTGCTTCGAGCTCTGCACCTTGCTCGATCACCCCACTATAGATGATTCCTATGTTTTTTTTTTGCATTTTACTTTCATCTCTTTTGGGATGACTGGGGAAATGTGGAGCTAAAAGAATGAGTTTCATGTTTATTCATTGTGATTAATGTAAAGTGGAAATCGTGAAACAACGTGAGCTTTAGGTTTAGTTGTGGGCAACCAGGTTTTATTTTTTTATCCATTAATGCAGCAGTTATTGAGTTATGATTTAGACTTTTGATATCATGTCAAAAAAGTTCAGTCTCATATGATTATATGAATACTAACTTAAGTAAAAAAGTTTATGTTGCAGCAAATATAATTAACACTTCATATAATTCATCATCTTATGGTTACAAATTGATCAATGATTTTATTAAAGCTCCTTCTAGGGAGTTCGATGAAAGAAAGATCAACATAATGATAGAGTAATAACTCCTCAAATGTGGAATTATTACTGGAGTCTATGTCAATCACCTTGTTAAGGATCTGCCTGTGTTTATATTGATAGGGCAGCTTATTTATTTAGACTTTTTCTATGTATTGTGAAGGTGTATGGTTTACACCAGGCCTGATCGTTATTCTCGCCATCAGCATCATGCATCATTTAATATAGTAGTGTTGTCATTTTGAATACGGATTTGCAGCCATTCATATTGTGTTTCTTGTGCATATGTTCTGTGTTTGTAAGCATGTTGATCACGATTCAACTTCTTGAGTGTTTTCTTTTGTCTAGTGGCTGTGGTAAGCTATGCTCTGATTTTCACTTTATCATGCATTTTCTGTTATTCAAAAACAGCTGCAAAGCTTGGAGGAAAGTGCTGAATCTCTGAGAGAGAGAAGTTTGAAGTTTTATAAAGGATGTCGAAAATATACGTGAGTAGAAAATATTTGAGCTCTGGTCTCTTATATATGAAGTTGTATCTCTTCTGCAGGTTTTGTTTCGTTGTTCCTGAGAACTTAATCTTTATTTATGTCCATCTCATTTGCTCTCACTTCAATGGTTGGCCAGCTATTCCTCTTGTTCATCCAGATCAAATTCAAATCTCTACTTTCCATTGAAGATCAACTCTGTGATGTGATTTGTCCAGCAGATCACATTCTAGCCAAAATATGTTTGAATGTTTTACTTTCTTGCCATTTTTCTACTGTTCTGCCAGGGATTCACAGTATTCGTGATCTCTTCTCAGAACTAGGGGTTTCATTTTAGGAGTTTAGAGTTGGATTTAATATTTATCTCATTGGTTTTGGAATATAAAGATAAAGTCAATTCTCTTCTATGTCAATGTGAAAATGGACATCTAATCTTCAGCAATTGAGTTCTTATTGGACCCCTTGATGCCTAGTTAGGAAGATGATAATGCTTATCATGAAGTATTTATAAGTTTTGAAATACATTTAGTGCAAGAGATGTGTTTTATACACATCAGTGAATTTTGTGCTCTTCCTTATGCTCCAAAGCTTATTATTTCACTCATAATAACACTGAATACTTGTGTAGAAGTCAGAAAGTTTGTAGATTAATTGGAAGTTTTGTTTCAGAGCTAATCTGCCCCTTACATTCCTATTTCTTAAACTGTTGCTACATGATTGACTTGTATTCTGCATTCAGTGTTTTGTTCTTAAACTTGCAGGGAAGGCCTCGGAGAGGGATATGATGGAGACATTGCTTTTGCAAGTGCTCTGGAAACCTTTGGCGGGGGACACAATGACCCCATCAGTGTCGCTTTTGGAGGCATGTCTTACTTTACTCTTGGCTCTGTCATAAATATAAATAATATTATATCAATAGTTTTGGAACATTTATGTGAATGGATCCCATTAAGCATTTCATGTATTGATGTGAATTGAATTTGCTAATGTAGGTCCTGTAATGACTAAATTCACTATTGCACTCAGGGAAATTGGTACATACAAGGAAGTTCTTAGGTCCCAGGTTCATTTTTCCCTTTTCAACATGCTATTAAATATCTACTTTAATGTTAGCTTAGCACTTTCTCATGCTGAACAATCAACTCACTTGTTTAATGAATATCCCATTCATAAACACCTCATTGGTTTGTTAGTGTGTTTAAAATTTTCTCAAGTTACATAGTTCACTAGTTTTTATTTTCATTTTTATTCTTTTGACATCATTTTCACATTCATTGTTTAAATATTTATTTCCTTTCACTTCACTATTTTCTTTCTTACAGTCTTGCACATATGAAGACATTTAGAGTAAGGTTCTAAAACATGATATTCTCAACTCCCTTCTATGAATTTCAGGTAGAGCACTTACTGAATGATCGATTGCTGCAATTTGTTAACATAGACTTGCATGATGTCAAGGTACTACTATTCTTTTGAATATCCATGTGGTTATATTTTGTCTTGTTTTCAAAAAGGAATTTATCAAAAGCTATCTCTAACTGCTATACTACTATCCATGTTCACTCCTATGCGGCTTCAATTTTTTTAGTGCTCTATGATTCTTTATTTTCATCTGTGTCTTATCATTGAATAAACTTTGGGGCTCATTGGGCCAGTATGTTTCTAAGTGTGAATAGCTAATGACAACTATGCTTTCTATACTTGTGGTTCTAAATTGATGTTTGGTGATGTAATATCTCAGTACAAATTTCCTAGTAATTTTTACTAAGGGGTGCTGTTAGTGCAGGAAACACGAAAGCGCTTTGACAAGGCTAGCCTTCTATACGATCAAGTATGCTTATTTACAAATCTGAATACTGCTTTATTTGTGGAATTTTAGATTATGAGCGATTGATATCATGAGTGGGAAAGTTAAAAGACAATTATTGCTGCAGGCTCGTGATAAGTTTTTGTCACTAAGGAAAGGCACTAGGAGTGACATAGCAAACATGTTAGAGGAGGTATTATGATGAGCCTGTTGTATTTAATGCTTATAGAAAAGACTGCTTCCATTAAATTCTTCTTCAGACTTCAACATGACATGGGATTGGTGTAGGAACTTTATAATGCAAGGTTAGCCTTTGAACAAGCAAGGTTCAACTTGGTGAGTATATTTGTAACAACCATAATTAGATTTCTATTATGCTGGTGCATTTATTCTAAAAATTATCTCAACTTTCTTGTGATTTGGATTTGGATGCTTACTTTTCAGGTTACTGCACTCTCAAATGTTGAAGCAAAGAAAAGGTTTGAATTTTTAGAAGCAGTTAGTGGCACGATGGATGCCCACCTTCGTTACTTCAAGCAGGTTGGTTATTAGGTGTGAAATCTCCCTTCATCTTTTACTTGATGATTTCATCTCTAAGGTGTCACTTATTACCATTTATGTACGTAGGGTTATGAACTTTTGCATCAAATGGAGCCCTACATTAATCAGGTTTGTATTGTGGTGTCTTTTAGTCATTCCGAGGTTGCAAGGTTGAAAACCATACACCATTGTTTGGTTAGAGTTCATGGTGATCAAGATTATTGTGGCGTACAAAAATCTTTTCATTCTCTTGCAACTTATAACTCACTATGAGTTTTTGAGAGAAATCCATGTGTACTTCTGTTTTTTTTAATCAAAGAAGTCATGTAACTGGCTAGTTGAACCCTAGATTCTTGAATGATCACAGCTTATTGTTGCATTGGTAGGAATTATTCAAGCATCACATTTCTGCTGCAGGTATTGACATATGCACGACAATCTAGGGAAAGATCTAACTATGAACAAGTAGCTCTTAATGAGAAGATGCAAGAATACAAAAGGCAGATAGACCGAGAGAGCAAGTGGGCTTCAAGTGGTTCCAATGGATCTCCATCTCCTAATGGAGATGGTATACAAGCCATTGGTAGAAGTTCACATAAGGAGATAGAAGCAGCTATGCAATCTGCAACAAGGGGGAAGGTCATATATTTATCCATCATCCACTATGCATAGCAAACAATTTTGAGAACTTTTTTTTCATTCTCCACTTCTTTCCCTCTTAACTAGCAATATTTGTTTTTCTTTTCTTCCATTTGCACACTATAGACATTTTACACTTGTGGAAAACTTTCAGGTCGAGACCATTAGACAAGGCTATCTTTCGAAACGTTCTTCAAGCTTAAGAGGTGACTGGAAAAGACGATTTTTTGTTCTTGATAGCCGAGGAATGTTGTATTACTATCGCAAACAAAATACCAAACCATCTGTGAGTAACACGCAACATGAATTGTTGAGAACCTGGAAGTCTAGTTCATTTTGGTTCTTCTTATTCTTATTGCCACTGGAATTTTGTCTCTTTAGGGGTCTGGCAGTCAAGTCTCTAGCCAGAGGAATAGTTCTGAGCTTGGTTCTGGACTGCTGAGTCGCTGGCTTTCTTCCCATCATCATGGCGGGGTGCATGATGAGAAGTCTGTTGCTCACCACACTGTAAATCTCTTAACATCAACAATAAAGGTTGATGCTGACCAGTCGGATCTGCGGTTTTGCTTCAGGATTATTTCACCAACAAAAAGCTATACACTGCAGGTGAGTTGTTATTGTGTTGCTGTGTAGTTGGTTTGCTTGTGACATGTAAACTCAACCTTCTTCTTTTGGGTGCAGGCTGAGAGTGCCCTAGATCAAATGGATTGGATTGAAAAGATTACTGGGGTTATTGCTTCTTTGTTGAGTTCTCAAGCCCCTGATAGGGTAATCTATATTTGAAAGACATACGACTGTACATCTAAACTCACCCTTGGGTCTTTGCATATTTGGTCTCCTTTTCTTTCTTTTTTTTAATAAAAATTTTTCTATTCTTGCAGCGTTTTCCTGCTAGTCCAATGGGCAGTGGTCATCATCGATCTGCAAGTGACAGCAGCTCATTTGATAGCTATGATGTTGATCCCGCAGCAGGTGATGAACATGGATCTGAGAGACATGCATCTGTCCATAACGAGCGCCCCTTGAGAAACTCACAACAGCTGCAGATTGCCGTGAGAGCTGAACAGCCGATTGAGACGTTACGGAAAGTATGTGGCAATGAAAAATGTGCCGATTGTGGTGCCACCGAGCCTGATTGGGCATCTTTGAACCTCGGCGTTCTTGTCTGTATCGAATGCTCAGGTGTTCATCGAAACCTTGGTGTTCATATATCCAAGGTAGACCCTCTTAGTTTTGTCACGTTTTTATTTTAATTTTTAACCCTATGTTTGGTTCAAGGACTTTGAAAGGGAAAAGAAAAGGAAATGAGATGGAAAACAGTTTTCTTGTTTGGTTAGAGAGGAAAAGAAAAGAAAAGTGGAAGGAAAAGAAAATGGGAAGGAAAATGTACTGAGAGGAGGGAAAACCAAATTCCTCCCATTTTGGTGAGGAAAATGAGAGAACCATTTTCTTTTCTTTTTCTTCCAAATCTCCTTGAATCAAACATGGTGCAAGGCTTTGCTTCTAAGTCACACACACCAAATGGTGTTATTATTATTATTACATGGATCTCTCTACTTCTCCGATTTAATTTTTGATTTCCTCTCATTTTGATATATTTTAGTAAGTTCTTAGGATTTTGCCTTGCTGATAATTGTCTCTTGTGGTTTTGCAGGTAAGGTCACTGACTCTTGATGTTAGAGTATGGGAGCCTTCAGTACTGGCTTTGTTTGAGTCCTTGGGTAATGCATTTGTGAATTCAGTATGGGAAGAGTCACTTCAATCAAGAGGTGCCTTCCAGGTTAACCACGGTCCTACAAGGTAGATATCTTCATTCCACAAATGACTTTTTAGTTACTTCTATTTTTTCAAAATTTCATTCTAGCATTTGTTCTAGTTTGTTAAAGCAGTGCTACTTTTGAAATTGCAGCTTGTACAAGTCCGATAAACAGCAGCAACTATACATAAGCAAGCCAAGCAAGGGTGACCCAATTTCAACCAAGGAGAAATTCATTCATGCAAAGGTTTATTTTTCATTCTGTCCTTACTATTTCTCCTCAAATTTTTACCCATCTGTACTGATTGTAACATAATAAAAACTGGTATTTTAATTAACAGTATGCAGAGAAAATGTTTGTGCGGAAAAGTAAGGACTACCGACCCGTAGCACAACAAATGTGGGAGGCTGTCCGTTCTAATGATAAGAAAGGCGTGTATAGGCTCATTGTCAACTCTGATGCAGATGTTAATGCTATCTGTACACAGTTACTGAACACCTCACTAACTCTTGCCAAAGTAATGTCATTGCAAGAACAGGCTGGCATCATTGATGAGAAGCCTAGCCACTCATTAGAACTTCGTGCAATTCAGAGCGAATGCCTTGACGAATCTATAAATCTTGATGGGTGTTCATTGCTTCACCTTGCTTGTGAAACAGCAGACATAGGAATGCTGGAGCTGTTGCTTCAGTATGGTGCAAATGTGAATGCCCATGATTTGAGAGGCTGGACCCCGTTGCATCAGTGCATTCTGAGGCAGAAAGCCACATTCGCTAAGCTGCTGCTTTCAAGGTATAATCTGTGATTCATTCGTCTCTTAATTCAGTTTCACCAAATTGTCGTTTCTATCATAATAATCCGGGTAAGTGTTTGGGGGAGCCTCATGGTGTGACAATGATCTTTGGCTCCACTTATTGTGATTGGTTGGATAAATTTTTAAAATAAAGCAGTTTTGTTCGTTTTTTTTTTCACTAAAAGTTAATAATCTAAACCAATCACGATGAGTGCCACATAGAGGGGGTTTGTTGGTGCTTCAAAAATGATTTTTAACTTCTTTGAATAGAATCTGTTTGGAGTGTTTGCAACGGTCTGATTCTAGGCCTTTTAAGAGACAGAAAAGCAGAAGCTGAAATGATTTTAGATTATGCGGTTAAAATGATCACCTTTTCTAAGAATTAAGCAATCCCAGACACCCTCATAATGGTGACCAATAATATCCCTCGATATGAAATTCCTGAAAATGTTTACTGCAACCATGTTTGATCTATTGATATTTACTTGGCTACCCTTTTCATGGCCTAAAAATATTGAATTTGAGAATTGCGATGTAACCACAGGGGAGCTAATCCGCACGCTGTAAATGGGGACGGTAAAACCCCCGTTGATCTTGCCATGGAATCAAACTTCAACGATCACGAGGTCCTTTCGCTACTGTCAAATGCAAACCGGTGACTGAACTTGGGTGATAATATATACACATTTATAGAGGAATTACAGTGAAGGCTGGTTGAAACAAAGGCTTTGAAGCTTGGTTTGTGAAGTTGTGGTTGTCTGTGAGTATTTTGTAATTATTATTATCATTATTATGTTTGTAGATGTAGAGCCCAATGAATCCCCACCCATAGATGCTGCCGCTCGATACAAAACCAATGGCAGTGCGGGTCGGGTCGATACGGTTTGTATTCTATAGCCGGTTTTCACGTGTTCGATTTGAGAGTGGGTTGGTACTGAGGTTTGTGTACATTTTTCTTTTACATAGGAATGGGAAGTCTTCACTTGATTAAGTTTTTGTGTTTTTTTATGTTTAAAGAAATGAAACATAACCCCAAACGTTTCTCATACTTTTGTTGTGGTGTCTGCACTAAATTTGAATGGTTTTGAATAGTTAGTATATATATTGGGGAATGGGTGGATTCTGAGTATAGTTTTAGATGAAACTAGTTGTTTGTAAATTTGGTGTTGAACAAAAATTTAAAAAAGAAAATATTTAGCCAACAAAATATTTGTGACTTGAATGAGGTTGAAATTAAAAATTTTGGATATTTGAAACAACTTCGGAAGTTGGAATCCTAAAAAATTGAGTCTCAAGAAATTGGAGGCCCTGAAAATTAGGGACACTAAAGCTTATGGGCTAAGGGCCTGTTTGGAAATAGCATTAGTGTTTTGAAAAGACTATCTACGTTTAGCGTTAGCGTTTTCAAAGTAATCTGCACCATTAAAATTTTATCCAAAACGCTAACGCTATTCCTAAATAGACCCTAATTTAAAATAACAATAACTTGTACACAAAATTCACAAACGATTATATCCGTGGGCGCATAAATTTACATACATTTATCACACATAATGTTAAAGCAGATGTTGTTATAGAGTTTTTCTCTCACTATTTTGTGAGAAAAAAATTAACATCTTTTAAAATAATTTATCATTGTAACTTTTTACATTAATTAAAAATTGAAGAATGTAGGCACAATATACATTACATCCATTCACTTTTTAATTTATGCAAAAATGTCATAATAGTCATTTAATAGAGGGTTACAGCACAACACACAATGCCATCTCTGTCAAAAAAACTCGAAAGTAACACAAAGTCGGTGCAAAGAAGAAGCCTAGGCTATGTTCGGTTCGCCTGATATGATTCCATTTTGAAGATCTAGTTTGTTCTGATTGGAATCGATCTGATTAGATCTGATCAAACCTAGTTTGATTTGATTGGATGTGATTGTAGTTATATTTAGGCCCTATTCTTTTGAGTTAGAAAATTAACTTCTAACTTTTTACAACTTCCAGTTTCTTCCAACAAGGATTTTATATATATATATATATATATATATATATATATATATATATCTGTGTGTGTGTGTTCTGGTGAGAACGCAATCTTATGAAAGAAATAAGAATTAATATGATGCTTTAGATTGTGCGATCGAAGGGTTAGGATTGCATCAAAGTTAGATGCACCAAAATGGTTTGAAAATGCGTCATGTCGAAATGCACCAAAATCTTTTGAAAATGCACTATCTCAAAATCTGAGCGCAGGATGCAATATGAGCCGCACGATGCATCAGATCTAGAGGCTAGATTTTATTCTTATTTCTTTCACCAAAGTGCAATTTTCACGTGAACCGGCCCCTATATATATCTATGTGTGTGTGTGTGTACACACACACACACACACACACACACACACACACACATATATATATATATATATATATATATATATATATATATATATATATATATATCGTACTTCATGCATGATGACGAATCATGAGGTAGTATCATAAGACTAATAGCAGACTCTGGTTTTCCTCTTTTACTCATTCGCAACCTAACCTTGAATTTATTGTTTCTGTTTATTTCAAAGACAATGATAATTTCATCCAAAATGGTAGGCTCTTTATCTATCATATAGTCACAAAGTTTTGAAGTCTCGCCACCCCGTGTCCCGAGTCTAGAGTCATGCAACACGCATGCATGGCGTGGTGAACGTAGTGACGAAAACACACATATGCTCACCTTTTACGTAACCATAAAAATCTTTATAATGTAGCGAAGTGTTTCACCTTTTAAAAGAGTATTTAATGAGTTTTGTTTCCAATGTCGAAGTACATTCATTTCTACATTTTGAAGAAACTTCGCTCCCTTTATTAATTATTGTGTATTACTCAACGAGTCTATTTTTAGAATTAATTTCTCATTCACCTCTTTATCATTTTGGCGCATAATATATCAAAACATCAGTCTCAGTTAGCAGAACACAGTTTCCATTATGTAACACTCCATGAAGGTGCTCTTGAAACACATTGATCTTTAAGCCAAAATTTCCCGCCCAAACTAATATTCATACTTTATTTTCAACAACCCCCACTTGAGTAGAGTACAATGTCTTTGAATTATCTTGCATTTGTGTAAATGATAGTATTTTTTACATAGATATCTTCTTAGCGTTATTTCGCTCTCATGAATGTGCCCATTTTGGTCATAGAACACTATGCATAGGTTTGTGAGAGTTGCTAAAGGATGAAATTAAAAGCACATAATCCTCCTTCTAAAGTCACCACACTTCTCTTCTCACACATTTGATGGTTTAAGAGTACTTTAAATACTCTACCTAATCTTACATGTCTATATATAGTATTAGAACCATTAAAGCATACAAGTGTGCTACCCCCACCCCTTTTCAGGAGTCACTATTTATTGACAAGAAGACGAGATATTTTAAAATTTTGGTCCTCCTTGATAGTGATCGCACTTCATCATACAGGTAGGTTGTCCCATTTAACTAAGGTACCAACTAGATTATATTTTATTTTGTTGGAGTTTCCTAGCACAAGGGCTTCAAACTCATTCTTGCAACCAATTTCTCATGTAACTCATTTGTTAACCCTTAGGTTCACGGATCCCTCAAATTAATTATTTACTATACATAGCCTATCATGATAATCTGAGTTGACAAAATTCATTCAATGGTGTTATGTCTTCGATAAATGTGTCTTGCCTTACTATTATACATACTCTGTATTATTTTTTGCTTGATCTATTGGAGACTAACAGTCACATTAGTTGCAAATCGATGGAATTTGTCCTTCTGGATGTTTCATAGCCATTCAAATTCCTCTCAATTTATATAATGTTATGAATTCAAATTCCATAGTGAACCATGCAATTAATGTATATCTTGAGGACTTCCGGGATACAATTGCACCTACTAACATGAAGACATTTGTTTGTAGATTTTTGATCTTTCGTGTCAGATACCTATTTTGCATTTGTACGTTCTTCCAATACACTTGGATATCTAATGTAGTGCCGTCCATAATTGCAAGATACCTTAGGTATCTTATCACCCACACTACTTCTTTGCAACGTTTGGATTGTTAGTATACTTGGTACCAATAGCGTAAGCTAGATGTGGTCAAGTAACTCATGAGATACATCATGGGATTCAATGGTGGTTTACTACTTCGGGAAATTGTTTTTGGATCTAACAGAATATTGTAGTTGTCTAATGTCAATCTCATGACATTGAGTTTAATGTCAAATAAATTCAACTGCTTTTGATATAAAATGGATGAATATAAACAAAAAAATAATTTTGGAAGGATGAATAGAATTTATTATGGGCACTTCTTTTTTTTTTTTTTGTGTGGAGCGATTTGACTACACATGCCTCAGTTTAGGGGAAAATTGGAAACTCACAATTTATTTGTACGAGTGAAAGGAAATAAAGCAGAAAGGGGTGGGGATACTGGGAATAGATAAAAGCAAGAGCAAGCATGCCGCCTCCAGGCTCTTTCTTCTTCCTCTACTCAATTGCTGACGACCACTGTCACATTTGAGGGAAAGAAACCAACAGTTATTATTAGACCTAATATTTGGATGATAAAGTTCTATTGTTGAAAAAACAAGCCAGATTGGTTTGGCACTGAATCTTCTTTTCCTCTCTCCTGTTCTTCAGTTAATTATTACTCCTTACTTTTAAAAATCTTATCTTTTTTTCCCCCTTGAGGGAATTCTGATTAAAGAATATGTCTGTTGTTGGTCCCCTCATATTTTTTATACGTCTTGAAGAAAATTCTCGATTCCATTGAAGAAAAAAGGGCTTTTTTTAAGTTCTTGACACTTTAGTTCTCCACCCTCAATCTCTGAGGCTTCAATGTTCTTCTGGGCATTCGTCTGGTTCCATCTGTCTTCATTTTGAAGTGTTCTTTTACAAGGATTCTGTCTGCTACTATACACTGATTTCGTCCGTTGATTTGAAGCTTTGTTGGCTGGGTTTTTGGGCATTTACGGTAATAAAGTTGGAGACTTTTTTTTTGTGTTACTGCTCTCAAGATTCCTTGGGAGAATGCGATAACCTAACGCCCTCCCCATTCTTGATCTTCCAATTCTTTTAGCTCTCTGGGCATTTTCTTGAAGACTTTGGAGCTCTTCTGAATTTGTGTCTTTGTTTAAGTTGCTGTTCAAAACCCTAACAGCAGATAGTCTCAGTTGATGCCAGAGGTTGAAATGTTGAGTCTTTTGTGACTGGAGAAGAGATTTGAGGCCTCTAGGGGGGAAAGGGATGAGAACCCGCGGTCGAAATTTCTGCGACGCAAGTGCGAAATTCATGTTCTTGTTGTGCTTTCATGTGAATTGTGTACAATGCCAATCTAGCGAGCATCGGGTGTCTCCACAATTCAAGAGCAGATTTCCAAGAATTATGCTTAGCATTCTGCTAGGAGTCTTGACAGGCTTGATATCTGCTCTTCTCTTCGCTTGGGCAGTCAGGTGCTTCATCAGGTACATAAACAAACCCCCAATCCTCAAGGGTCCGGTTGTCTTTTCCCCGAAAATCATTCCCAAGACCCTACAAGCAGCTCTTTCCAATGAACCCCAGTTGCTTGGCTCAAGCCCTAATGGGAAGTACTACAAGACTGTTCTTGATAACGGGCTAACGGTGGCTGTAAAGTTGCTTGAAGCTGGCAGTTCACCTGAGAGGAAATCAGCCAAGAGGAAAGTGCAGCAGGAACTGGAGCTTCTTGCTGGCCTAAGACACAGAAATTTAATGAGTTTAAGGGCTTATGTTCAAGAATCCAATAGGTTTTACTTGGTTTATGATTATCTTCCTGGTGGGAGTCTTGAAGATGCACTGAATAGGGTGAGGGAGAATCAAGTAGAGCTCAAGTGGGAAGCCCGGCTGCGAATTGCGATTGGAATAGTTAAGGCACTTCAATATCTTCATTTTTCGTGCAATCCGAGATTTTTGCACTACAATTTAAAGCCTTCCAATGTGATGTTGGATGCCGAGTGTGAGCCAAGGCTGGCTGATTGTGGTT